CGTCCTGGTTCTTGGTACGATGAGTGATTTTTCGGTTGTATCCTGGATATGTTGAGTATTGTGTCATGCGACTCTGTATCCTATTTAATCTTCCTTTTCAGCTGGCAGTCCCGTTTAGGTGTAGTGTCGAGGCCTAGGTCGGGGTGAGCTTTCAGCTCCCCACTTTACTCTTTTAAAACCACCCTAGCTAAAGCAATTCACTGACTCATACCACTTTGTTGCCGAAGGGTGAGGCTACAAGTTCGATTTCCCCAGTGACCCTGCCGATGCCTCCCTGTCCAAAGCAGAGCGCTAACTTGCACTGCCTGTTTGCTGCTGGCCGGGGGTAGAAGTTTCCCTGCCGAACCCCACCAGCACCAGCGGGGTGGGCACAAGTCTCCAACTAGCACCACCTGTACTGCCTTAGCCTGCCTCATTCTGCCTCGCTGGTCCTGGGTAGGGGCGGATGTTCAGCTCCTGGCTGGACCTCGCCGACACCATTTTGGGGGGGACCAAAAACAGGGTGTTGGGCTTCTTTGCTGTTGCTGGGTGGGGATGGAGGTTGAGCTCCCTGGTTGGTCCCTGTGACGGGAAGGTTGTTCCATTGGTGTAGGGCAGGTGTTTTTTAAAATTTTCTGTTCTGCTAAAATGCCTTTTTTCTCTTTGGCTAGAGGGAATAGGTTTTTCCTAGGCTTCACTTTTTTTGTTTTTGTTTGTTTGGATTTCGTCTGTACCTGTTGGTGGTTAGGGTGGCAGGCTTCTCCAGCACGGGATATATAGGGGGCAAAAAGAAAACCCAGGGAGCTCGCCATGTTGTTCCTATAGTCCTGAGGTCCATTGGTCATCCATCTCTTTCTTCCCATCTTCCAGAATCTTCCCAAGTTTGTTTGTTATATCAAGGGTTTTTTTCATTGTAAAAGGGACTAGGGAAGGGGCCACTCCATCTTGGCTGGAACCGGAAATTTCTACTTTAACTTTTTTTACCCAGTGTTTTTATGAGGAAACAAAACTCTAAAGACACCCCAAATAGATCAGTGAGGCCTCTCAGGGACTAAAATCCTCAGCATGGAAGACACTTAGATCACCGCAAAGAGTCTTGCCTTCATAATCGGTAAAATATTTTTTGAGATTGTTTTAAGAGGGAAAACACAAATGAAAACTATTCTCATAGAATTTTCAAACTCCTGGAACTTCGTACCTGGCTCTAGAGATCTCAATTTGGGGTAAGGAGCAAAATGTGGGTCCTGGCGCGTGTTCCCCCATCCCTGGCCAGCTCTCCCCAGCTGCCGTCCTTCTCACCTGACGCTCCGTCTCCCCGTCCCTGAACCTGAGCTCTTCTCGGCGTGGCTGAGTGGGCGATGCAGACCCGGGCTCGGCTCCTGGCTCTGCCGCTCACTAACTGCACGACACCGGATCCGTCTCCTAACGCTGTGCCTGGGTTTGCTCCTCCGTGAAACGGGATCGCAGCCATGCAAACGGCGCAGCTGCGATGATTAAATCAAGCAATGTGGGTAAAGATGGAATGTGGGGCAAATAGCGGGTTCTCAATAAATGCTTGCTGAACGGATGCAAAGAGAGCCGAGCACGGTGTCTGGGCTGTGGTCATTGCTTAATAACGCGGCATGTTGTTTCTGCCCATCTGTGTCTTCTCATCCTTCTGGACTTTTCCCTGGCTGCTCCTGGGGTTAGAGGACCCTCCCATGCTGCCCGGCGCCTGTCCTCGCAGCCCTGCTGCCTGTGTCACTGTGCACTCCAGCCGCCTTTTCCAGGCCAGGAGCTCCCGGAGCCTGGGTGCTCCTCGAGGGTGGAGTTTATTCGCTGCTGTATCGATGGAGCCTGTGAAATCACAGCGTCGCTCGCGGGGAAGCAGAAGAGAAGCAGGAGAAGGATCCTAAGGCTGGTGCCGCACGGAGCATCCGTGGCGAGTGAGCGAGTGAGCGGGGCAGGAAGATGAGCCGCAGAGACTGAGATGGAGCAGCCTAGAGGGTGGGGGTGGGGCGTGCCGCAGCGGCCAGGGAGGAGAAGGTGGTCTGGAGGGGATCGGGGACGTTGGATCTGGTGACATCGAAGCTGTTGGTGGCCGTGTTGGCATCGCGTGGCTGTCCTGGTGGGTGACCTGGGGGAAGGTGGGTGCTGAGGCAGTGGGCGTGTGCACCACTGAACAAAGGTGCTTCCTGCTCTGCCCATGGCCCAGCGTAAGCGATCCTGCAAGAGACAGGCCCAAGCTGTTGCCTGCCTGTAACACAGTGCTCGCCTCCTCCTTTTCCAGAAACATCCACGAAATCAACAGTTTATTTAACAAAAACGCAATTATTGCCACCATCACCGCCAGAGCTGTGATACCCGTGCACGACCCTGGCCCATCGCCTGACCCGGGACATCTCCCCGTCTCAAGATCTTTAATTACATCTTCAAGGTCCCTTCCCCACGTGGGGTAGCGCAGCCACAGGTCCTGAGCATTTGGGACGCAGACACCTTGGGGGTCGTGATTCTGCTGCCCACACAGGATCCCTGCTCAGCACCACATGTGACAGGGCCCTTGCGTGGCCACAAGGAGCCAGCTGTTGGTTCACGTGCGGAGGTACCAGCTCCACGTCCTGGCCTCTGACAGGGGCTTGAGCTTTTCCCACTCCCCCACCAACAACCCTCTGCGGGGGTCCTGGCATGGAGCCATCCTTTTCTGATGGGGTCTCGAGGTACCTGAGGTGTCTGCGCCCCTGAGGGCCTGGGCCGCTCCTGCCCTGCAGATTAGAGGAGGTGGCAGGAACGCTGCCCCTAACCAAATCCCCGCGGGCCACTGGACTTTTATGGGGTGTGCACACTCCAGGCCTGTGTAATTACTAAGTGAGGTTACAAGTTTCCTGTTGCTGTAAAATTTAACAAGTTGCAGTTTGCTCATAAAAAAGGAACCCTTCCGCTCACAGATGTGTGAGCCCTGGGCGCAAGCCCCGTAGTCTGGGGTGAGCTGGCTCCCATGGGCTGCAGCCTGTGCCCACCCCAGACCTTGGTTCTTAAGAGTTCCAGGAACCCTGGGTGCAGAGCGGTTTGCAGATGAGGCTGGAAGGGGCCCTCCTGAGCTCCTGTCAGCCAAGGCCCCGGGACCTGCCCTGCCCGTGCCCTCCACCAGCCCTCTCTGGAGCTGCCCTCCGCCACCCAGGGGGAAGGGAAGAACACGCTCCCCCTTCACTTTCCCAAAGCGTTGCTCAGCCGTGCCCAGGCAGGAGGCCAGCACCATCGGGCCGGTGCAGCGGGCTGGCTTCAGAAAAGGCAAGTTGAAAACACCAAGCGCGTTGCTGCGCGAGCCTGCAGGTGGAGGTGGCCGTGTACCTGGGGAGGGCTCGCAGGGGAGTGGCCCAGCCTGGTGGGGGGGCTTGATCTCTGGGAACCTGCTGCACTGGGCTGCCCTGGGTCATGGTGGGTTCTGGTCCCTGCGTTCCCCACAGTGATGGGGCTGGCACTTCTCAGCGGCCCCTCAGGCCACCCCTCCCTGGCCCTGTGCACCACCGGCTCACTGCCTGCCTTTTCTTTTAAAGAAAGAGGGAAAAGCTAATTTTTTCTACAAAACAGCACAAACCTTGGGAGAGAGAGGAAAGACAGGTGTGGAGATGCTGGCCCCGTTCTCCAGCCACCACCATCCCACCCTCAGTTACCATTGGGGTCTCAGAGACAGTCCCCTGCTGGGTGTCATTGTCTCTGCTGTACAGGTGAGGATGCTGGGCCCTGCCCTGTCTGCTAGATCCCACCCCCCCCCACAGGGACCACTGGGGCCCAGAGAGGGTGAACAACTTACCCAAAGTCACGGTGCAGGCGGAATGGGGCAGACCCAGGGCAGAGGGATCTGCCTAAACAGGTGCGGACGGGAAGGACGAGGTGCGTGCCTGGCTGCAGACGGGCCTGCAGGTGAAAGGTAAGGCTGCCTCGGGGCTCTCGGAACCTTCCACCTGCAGAACGGAGCCCCTCCCCAGGGCCCGAGCGAGAGGCAGCCATGTGTGTTCCTCCCGCATCCCCCTGACAGGGCACCACAGCTAGAGGGACTTCAGATGCCAGCAGGCAGCAACACTCATTCACGGGTGACAAAACCACGTGCCCATTCCAGGTGGTGTGAGCCGGGGTCAGCATCTTGGGACATCTGGCCAAATGAATGAAGGAAGGGTCTGGCAGGCAGACTCTAAAGTGACCCCGACAGCCCCTGCCCCCGGGGCTCGTGCCCTGTGTCATCGCTCCCCCTGAGTGTGGCGGAACCCGAGACTCTTCCTGCCGATGAAGTCTGGCAAAGGAGATGCGACGCTGCAGACCCGGGCTGGTTGGTGCTGAGTGCATTGAAAGGAGTCTTGTACCTGGTGGGCCAAGTGAATCAAACAAAGGCCCTTAAAAGAGGGACTGGGCCCTCCCTGAGCCCGGTTGCTTCCTCTTGGTGGCCTTGACGAAGCCCCGTGGGTTCTAGAGCCACAAGAACATGAATTCTGGCAACAGCTTAAAAGAGCGTGGAAGATGATTTTCACCCCGGCGAGCTTCCAGGTCAGAACGCGACCCAGCCACATTGCGGCGGATTGTGGGCCCAGGAGACCCCGAACAGAGGACCTGCTCAGCCATGAGGGACTGCTGCCCCGAGGAAGCTCCGAGAAAAGAAACGTTTGCTGTTTCAGGGTCTGGCGATTCGTCACACGGCACGGATGACTGATACAGAGGGAAGGAGCCCGCATTGCCCCGGGAGTGTCACCTCGGCAGTGAGGTCCCCTGCAAAGTGGGGGTCCTGGGCCTGGTTCTGCAGGCCGGACACGAGGTGGACGGGCAGGTGTCTCTAAGCCAGACTCAGGCCGTGACAGGGGCCAATGCAGAGAGTGCGAGTTGGCCTGTGTTCCCCCACCCACCCAGACCCTCCCAGGCCCTGGGTCACATGGCTCATGCGGTCATTGGTAGCCTGGGATCCTAGCCCACCAGCCAGGCTACCAATGGGCCAACCATGCTTCCTGCCCCCAAGTAGAGGCCTAGCGTGGTCCTCATAGTGATCAGAAGTCCCCCTAGCAGCTGTGGAGGTCCCCAGCCTGGCCTTCTGGGTGCCCCTGGCCCAGGACCTCGGAACTCAGCACACCCTTCCTGAACACCTTCTCCGTGTGGTGCCACGTGGGGCCCTGGAGGACAAGACATAGAGAGGCCACAGACCTGCCTGTGTCAGTGTCTTCCTGGCATCGGAACAGAACAGGCACGTAGGACATCCAGACAGGTCACGCCATCCGAGTGACAGCAGTTTGTCCATTAAACGGGGACCCTGGGCTGTTTCCCCATCCATTAAACTGGGAGTTATTTGGCTATTCAGAGCTTGGGAGGACCAAATATGCATGTTGGGGTGGGATGGGCCCAGGACTCTAGGAGAGCACAGGACCTGACCCAGCAAGTGTGCCAGGCCACGAGCCCCGACCTCCAGCCGACATCGCAGAGGTGACTGTGGCTGTCCAGCTGCCGGGAGCTGCGTCTGTCTGCCCCAGGGGCTTTCTTTGAAGCTGCAAACATGAGCTCCACTCACGTGTGGCTGGCCCAGGATACTGGGGCGTCCACAACCCCAAGAGCAGCGCTGCTATTGAGTGCTCCAGCGCCCTGCCCAAGCAGGGGGTGACCCTGCACCCAGAGTTCCCGAGGGCACTGTGCCTTGCTTGCCCCAGTGGTAACTTGCTGGGAAATGCCTCCTGCCCTTTATTTGTGGTTAGCGGGATCCCCTTCCAAATAAGCTGCTTGCACTGAAACCTCGTCTCAGGTTGTGCCTCTGGGCACATCACCCAAACTAAAACAGTAACTAAGAGCTGGCCCCGACCGTGGGCAGCCACTGCCAGGCACAGCAGGACACACAGGAGCCAGTGCAAATCGCCCGAGCTGCACAAGAAGCCTGGGGTCCACCTTGTGCCCGCCGCAGCGACCGCATCCCAGTCTGGCGTCCCAGGGCCTCCGAAGATGCTATTAGCCGATGCAAAGATGGGGAAAGAGTGGCCTTTTCCTGGAAAACAGGCCAGCCTGCCAGAGCGCTAATCACAGAAAAAATGACAACTATCCCAGCCAACCTTTGATTGCTGATTGGGGTAAACACAGTGGGATTAAAAGAAACCACCAGAATTCCAGCTCATTAGAGCTGAAACGTTACTAAGCTTGGAACGTCATCTCGCTGGGTCTCTCCAGACTCAGCCAGCTGGTGGAAAATACGGCTAAGTCAGAAATAAGTGTGGGAGTCTTCTCCCTCCCAGGCCCAAGGGTCACGGATCTGGCTGGAGGGCTGGTGGGCCCCCAGGCAGGCCCTGCACAGGCTGGGACAGCGGTGATCTCATCCCACTCTCCAGCCTTCCTGCGAAAGAGAGGCCAACCTCCACCGAGGCCAGAGAGGGCAGGGGCTTGCCTTGGTCACACAGTGCCGGGTGGTGGCTCTGCACCCATCCCTCTCTCCCTCCATGCAAATGAGCTCAGGCCCCTGTCCTCAGCCCTCTCCAGGCTCCTAGTGGGGGGTCCACCCCACATAAACCTTCCCCGGTGCAAGACGGGCTCAGCAAATCTTCCTGCAAAGGCCCGGAGAGAAAATGTTTCGGGTATGGCAAGCTGCGTGTGGTCCCTGTTGCATATTCCTCTTTGTTTTTGCTAATACAAGCCTTCAAAAATGTAAAACCATTCTTAGCTCATGGGCCATACACAACGTAATAGATCTCAGGCAGATTTTGGCCACCGGGCTATCACTTGCTAACCCCGGGGGCCACGGAGTTACAAATGTTCCTTCTCACTTACTTCTCCACTTCTCTCTTTCATAGACTCCTATTCATCCTTCACAACCCAGCTCGAATGTCCCCTTCTGCATGAGTCTTTCCTAGCTTTTCTCCTCTGGGCACCTACAACCCCAGAACTGCCCTCTGGCCCATCAGGGCTTCAGGATCATGTCACCCACTTTGATGGCACTCATCTTTGGACTCATTCTTTCTCTCAGTAACTGCGTGGAGCCTCTTCCAGGTGCCGGGTGCTGCTCTAGGCAGCAGGACTGTAAGGGCAGGTGTCATAGCAACACTGCTCAATCTCAATGTCACAAGTTTCCAAAGCGACCCCCTCACAGGGAAACCCACCGTCATCCACTCCCACCTTGTTCTCAGCCCACTGAGCTGGGCCAGGGGCAGGAAGGAGGCAGACGCCCAGACGCCTGGCTGCTCTACCAGACAGCCCGCGACCACCGCCACGTCCGAGGCAGAGACCCAGGGTTCTGAGAACCCAGAACAGCCCGAGATGCGCCACAGGGGGCAGGAAGAAGGGGGCTCTGGAAGAGGCTCAGAGAAGCTGTGTGCGGGGTGGTGGAGGCCGGGCAGGACGGCATTGGAGCCGGGAGCAGGACAACAGCATAGACTGTGGGGGAGGGAGCAGCAGAAACAAAGTCTCCGAGGAGGGAAACGTGGAGCAAAGAACAGGGCGGGCTGTGGGAAGGAGAAAGGGGCTTGGAAATCCGGCTACACGGGGGGTAGGCAGCAGGAGCCTCCCCTAGACCAGAGCCCAGAGCCCGCAGCCCGCAGCACTGGGCTGCTGATGGGGGCCTCGATGAACGCTCCTCTGTGAGGAAAGGCGAAGGCCAAAGGTTTCCTAAGTCAAAAAACCAGGCAAAAGTAAGGGGAGGGGCAGAGGCCTCACACACAGGTTGAGCCGGAACCTTGCACCAGGCTGAGCCTGAGAAGGCCACGGCCCATCTCGCAGGTGACCCTGGCTGGACCTTTCTGGCCAGCAGGCTGCTTTCGGAACCCGTCCGTGGTCGCGTTCCCTCGCGGTCCGAGCGCCAGGCTCTCGGAGGGCAGACCTTGCCCGCTGGGCTGGGGCTGGGGCGGGAGGGCGCTCGGCCTCCCCCGTGGCTGTCCGCTTCCAGGGCCCCCGCTCTGCGTGCCGCGGGCGTCGCTCGTGTGCCGGGGCGGGACGGAAACGCACTCGGACGCCCGAATGGAAAGCGCGTGTTCCCAGCTCGGCGACAGACCCCAGCCCTCCCTCCCGCTGCTGTGGCTGGCGGGGCTCCGTCCTGGCACACAACCCCTCCCCTTCCCCGCCTTCGCCGCCCCGCCAGGGGCTCGGGGAGCTCAGGCTGCCCCCCACCCACACCCCCTCCGCCCGCAGGGCCTGAGGCCGCTGGCCCCGCTCAGGTTAGGTCCGGGGAGGGTGCCAGGCTTAAAACCCACCAGTGGCTCCCCAGGGCCTCAAGGAAAGGTCCGACCCCCCAAATTGGGCTTCAAGACCATCTGAGGAGCACCCCAGCCTTGCCAGTGGCCTTTCTTAAGAAAAATCACAGAAAAACAGCTGCTCAAAGACGCCCATACCCTAATCCTGGGAACCTGTGAATATATCACCATGTGTGGCAAAGGGACTTTATGATGTGACTAAGGACCCTGAGGTGGGAGATGATCCCGCGTTACCCCGGGTTATCGGGGTGAGAAGTGGACGGGGGTGGGGTCAGAGTCACAGAGGATGTACGGCTGGAAGGACAGATCAGAGAGGTACGGCCACCAGCCCAGGGATGCAGCAGTGTCTAGAAGTGGGAAAGGCAAGCAAGGGGGTCGCCTCCCATGGCCTTCAGAGAGAACACAGCCCTGATGATGCCTTGATTTTAGCCCCATAAGCCCCATTTTGAATTTCCAAACCCCAGAGCCAGGAGATAATAAGTTTGTGTTGTAGAAATTTGCTACATTTGTAGAAGTTTGTCACAGCAGTGATTGGAGACACATACAGCCTCCCATCACCATCCCCTAACCATGCTCTGCCCTGCGACACCAGCTGCCCTGCACGTGCCCCTCTGCCCGACTCCCCGCTGACCGCTCGGCCTGCTCCCGGGCACCTCTGCCAGGATAGTCCTTGCTGACTTCATTCTAGACGCCCTGGCGAGCTGAGTGGCCTATGCCCTCCTTTCTTCTACCACCGCCAACACTCCAGTTGAGTGCTAGGGCTTGCATGCCTCCCACGACAGGGAGCTCATTACCCTTCAAGACAGCCCGAGCCGCCTTGTCCTCACAGGACTGTGCAGCTCCTCACCAAAATCCAGCCTGAGATGGTGGATTGGGGCGGGGGCGGTAATTGTCAGCCTCTGGCTCTTCCCGCCTAAGTCCCCAACTCCCATACCCAAGCCAGAGGCTCACACACAGCCCCGTATGGACACTGTCCTTGTCACACGGGTGCCAGACTAGCAACTGAGGCCAGGATGCCCTGTTAAGCTGGAATTTCAGATAAACAACAAATGCTTTTTAGTACAAGTACTGCTGGCTTAGGAGGGCCTCAGAGGCGACGCTCCTCCCTCCCGCCCTCCTTCCTCATCCCTTCCTTGCTCCTCTCCTCCCTTTCTCCCTTTCCCTCCTTCTTCTCCACTCCCTCCTTTCCACCACCAGTCCTGACGCCTTCTCCCTCTTCCCTCTCCACTCATCATGGTGCCTCTGCTCCCAGCACCGGGTGCTAGGCCCCCCAGCCCCAGCCCTGGCCCTCGGTGGCTGCCCACCCTCCAGCCTGGATCCCACGGGGACACCGTGAGCTGCAACAGGGGGCTAAATGGCTGCTCCCTGTCCCCGACATACTGTGGGATTGGAGAGGGGTAGAGTGCCCAGCCCAGCCCTCCCAGGCCGACACGTGCAGCATGGCGTGGTGTGGCGTGGCGTGCGGCCCAGCAAGCCCCAGCAGGGAAGGGCTGCAGGGTCTCTCCCAGGAGGCTGCGGGCAGCTGGAAAAGGCGGCATCCCCCACCCCGGGCCTGAAGAATCCGCCACCTTTGGCAGGTCCTGGGCCTGGTCATGAGGCTGTGGGGAGCTCGCCCTTGGACCCCCCAGCCCCAGCCCCGAGCATGTGATTAGATCAGCTCACATACAGAGGAGCCCACGCAGAGCCCGCCGGGCCAGGGCTGTCGAAGCCTCAGACCCAGCAGCTGCCCCGAAACCGCTGTGAGAGCTGAGACTGCACCCAAGCCGGGGCACGCACGCGCTGCCCGAGATCCGGGGGTGTCTGCTCAGGGACGAGGAGGGCCCGAGGGAGGGAGGAGGCTCTGCAGGGAGGGGGAACAGCATCAGCGGCTCCCTGAGCACCGGCCTGCCCTAGGCCCCCACCAACTTCATGTCGGGGGGCATGTCCCATTTTCACGGGGTCTAAAGTGAGCGCTT